ATGCTAGATGTTTATCCAGATGGTGAAATGCCTCTATTTTCTTTAAATTAATTAGTGGCTAATTTCCATAGGGCGACTGAGTACAGCTGCACACGCACCTCAGTGGTTGGGGGGATGGGGCCGGATCAAGCCACAAGGTGTTCAATGACTTCTCAACACCAAAACATCTTAATATATAATTTAACAGGAATAACTGGGGATTTTCCATTGCAACAGAAACTACTGATTTCACCACTTGCAATATCTTTATGGATGTAATTGCCCCCTTTCATCACACCTATATTATCCCATATTATAATTTTATTTTTCTGGACATTTTAGTCACCTCTTGGTTTATTATATTTAAAAAAATGTTGTATTGCCTTCTGTAAATAGAAGCATGTGCTGCTTTTTCCTGAAAATACTGCCTTTTGATAGTTCTGTTCAGCTCTTTCAGATCCTCACAGCTAAATAGAAGTTTAGGGCTCAGGCAGACAACAATCTCCTTTCATCTGAGTCAGTTCTTCACCCAGGAGTCCTGGGCAGTGGAGAAGAGCCACAGACAGGTGAGCCTGCACTGGGACTAGGGGGTGGTCTGGGATTCAAGGTTGCTGAGGGTGGTTTTAGTTTCTGGATTGCCCTCTCCCTACATTAAACTGTCCTGGGGCCAGTGCCATCCCTGGCTGCTTTTGGAATCACCTTTCCTCTCCTGCCCTTGGATTGCTAGTATTTCAGATAATGGGGGGAGCCTTGTGTAGCTGTGGCAGGAGCATCTGAAAGGAAGGGACTTACTGCTTGAGGGCAAGTCATTGCTAATGTCTAGAATACCTAGGGCATAGCTATATGCTCTAAGGATATGAGTCTGTTACATACCACTCTCAAGAGTTTCTTGCAATATTGGGCCTCTCAGTCATGAGGCAGGGCAATTCCCCGAGGAAAGACCATATTAGGTGCTCAGTCATTGTTTCTTTTTAATAAGGAAAATAAAAACAAAGAAGGATAAGAATTCTTGCTGAAAACACTAGCTTCTGTGCTAAGTGCTATGGAGGATACAACGAAAGAAAAGATATTGTCCCGATGCTCAAGATGTTTATAATTTAGTGGGCAAAGTCAGCCTGCACAAGCATAAACAGTAATCCAAGCCTGTGTGCTAACACCATAGGAGAGCTGTAGACCACACGTCTGGGTAGCAGGATGACGGGGGACATGCTGCTGGGTGGTGAGCTGTGTTATAAGCAGCTGCGTACCAAAAATAAGGCATCATGTTTGTGAAGGATTGACTTAAATTAGACTATTCAAGGCTATGCATATTCTAGTTCACCATCACTGGCTGATGCTTCTTTGTGCTCTTTGGAATTGGAGGTTGGGGGACAGGTGGCCAGGAATTGCATATATTGTCAGCCTATCTAATGGGGGTGGTAGTGGTGGTGGTGGTGCTGAGAGTGTGCCCTGGCAGCAAAAGGACTGAGAACAGTGGTGTAGCTGATTCCTTCCACAGGGTTGAGAAGGAGCAGGAGGCAGATCACTATTTGCTGGGATGCATGGACCAAGCTTGATGGTGGAGGCTGAACAGTGCCTTGAATGAAGGGTGGGGTGGGTGGAGTGGAGGGCTGTGAGTTTCCTGGTGGTGAAGATAGAAGCGTCCGGGGGCCCAGGGGGGCTGGAGGACAGTGCCCTGACTAGGTGGCAGAGTGTTAGAGGGAGTGTTATGGGGGCCTGGACCTGATTGCAATGCAGGGAGCAGGGCCCTCAGCACTGGCAGGGCTCATCCGCCACATTAGGTAAGTGCTTGACAAATATTTGCCAAATGAATAATTAAGGAATTGGACTTCTGTAGGTGAGACATGGAAGATTTGACAGGGAGGTGGTGTTCCCCTGACATATCAAAACATATCTAATCTGGGTCTCATTTCATTTGTTAAACCAGCCAGTCTGAGAAATCAATACCAGGTCCTAATGAAAAACAGCAGCTTAATGTGACATCTCTCCCAGCTGGTGTCAGAATTTTGTGAGCCTTCAAACTGCTACCTCACGACACATGGGAGATATCAGGGGTTGGTGCACGAGAGGGGACACTTGGGTTGGAAGATTTTGTAGGTCGTCTGGATGTCTCTATGAGAAACCATATCCTGCTTCTGTGCACAGCAGACTGTGGCTAGCTTATACCTTGATGATCAAAATCCGTACAGCTTCATCGTGGTTTTGTCGCCTCTGTGGCATCTCAAATTCACAGAGCTCTCTGAATACTGGGATTTCCTGTGCCTTGTCTTCCACCCTCTTCTGTTTTAAGAAGAGGGCTGTCTCCCTTGGCTGCAGCTGTCTGATGTCCCAGCTACATCCCTTAGAAGTGACCCTCATAAAAATGGCAGCCCTTCCTCACTGCCTGTGGAATAATGAAATAAAACCTCTACATTCTAAGGTCTACTTTGTATTGCCCTGCAGCTTTTCTTGTTTTGTTTTCAAAGCAAATCTGGTTAAATGGACAGTTTTATTTTGTTTTCTTATCACCAGTATAGGAATCTGTAACTGCCTAATTATAATGACTAAACCCGTGTAGTGATCATCTCGTTACTGCCTGCACTGGGAGCGTGCTGTCAGTTGCTGCCCCTTAAACACATGTCCTGTTCCTGCGTCATCAAGAGCCACCTCCGTTTCTTTGAATTTTTCCTTTGTTGCTGACCCGTGGTCCACTACCTCTTAAGACATTATTGGCAAATCTGGGGAAAATGGAAAGCCTTGACTCATTTGAACTTCTTGGAGCATTCTGCTGTTTAACCCCTTTGTGCTGCAGCAAGCAACCGGAAGCCAGTTTTGCTTTTACAACAGTCAGAAAGTGCTATGGGCTTAAGGTTTGCATTTGGCAGCAGTTTACGATATTTTTGGAGTTCTACCATGGAGCTGGGTGTACATCACGTGCCATTCCTTGGGCTGTTGATGGCTGCAGAGGCATGGTGGCTATCCATCTCTGTCAGGGCTTGTCACTTGCTTCTTTATGAATATAGCTTTTAATACTCTCTCACTTCGGGAGGGCCAGATCCCTGGTATCCCTTCACTTCTGCCCTGCCCTTCCTGACGACATTTTAAAAGTCAGAAACATTGACTCTGGTCTATCCTGGTAGCTTAAGGTCCATCCTTTTACCCTGGGTGGGGGCAGCCCCTAGACCTGATGGTGGTCTCTCATTTTCCGTGGTTATGGGATCTCAGGCGTCTGTGGGCTATTAGGTAGACAGACTTGGAATCTTAATAGCAGCTCAGGGACGGGGCTGCAGGGACCCTCTATAACCATCCAATCCTTTTCTAGGGCAACTATTCAGGGTGGCTGAATTGGTATAGTCACACCAACTTGGGTTTGACTCCTTCCCTGCTCTGCCGCTTGTTGACAGTGTGACCTTGAACAGTTCATTCTGTCTCAGTTTATATATACTGTAGAAGGAGGACAAGAATAGAATTTGCCTGCAGAGTTGGGGTAAAAAGAGAAAGAGACAATGTTTAGAAAGGCCTGAGCACAATACTGAGCACAATGCAGGTACCCTCAGAGGTATTTATCATTAGAGAATTTGGATGTAGCTTACTTTAATGATAACAGAGTCAGTGTTCTCTGAGCTGACTGTATACTGTCTGAAATTGAGTTGGTTGTTGTTGTTGTTTTTAAGGTTTTTATTGGAGTGGAATTTTTAAAACTAGAAAACATAGCTATTAAATAGTTGTCTGTACAGCCGAATTAGGAACAACCCCAGAATGGCAACTCCCTGGTAATCCTGCAATGCCTTGGGTAGTACCAAGGCAGTGGCTGGGCCCGTGGATGCCATGGAAAATGGGTGGTTCTTTCATGGCCTCTTGGAGTCACTACTGGCCTTGTGTGCATAGCAGGCTCTAGTCAGGAGGTGTGTGGGGATAATCATAGCTTTATACACAGTTGTAAGAAATAATAGAGATAGCCAGGTCCTCTCTATCCAGTTTCCATTTATGGTAACATCTTGCAAAACTATAGGACATTACCACAACCACCACATTGATATTGATGTTGTCAAGATACCACCACAGATCTGATGATGTCAGATCCCTTATATTGCACTTCTGTGGTCATATCCATTTCCCTCCCACTCCTATACCCTACTTAATGTATGGAAATGACTAATTTGTGAGGGCCTAGATCTTGGTGAAGGCAGAGCCTCTATCCCAGCTTTGGACCTGTTACCTACGGGATAAACTTTTATTGATTAATTGATTGTGAGAATGATATTAGTATCTATATTTAGAAGCCAAATCATTTTGAAAAAATATGCCATATGGCCAAACCTAACCCTTAATTGAGACAGCAGAGATCCAGAAAAGGAGGTCAAAGAATCACTCTTACATTAGGGGAAAATAAAGACTGTGAAGGTGGTTTTCAAAGAAGCAGGAAATCTCAGGGGCGCCTGGGTGGCGCAGTCGGTTAAGCGTCCGACTTCAGCCAGGTCACGATCTCGCAGTCCGTGAGTTCGAGCCCCGCGTCGGGCTCTGGGCTGATGGCTCGGAGCCTGGAGCCTGTTTCTGATTCTGTGTCTCCCTCTCTCTCTGCCCCTCCCCTGTTCATGCTCTGTCTCTCTCTGTCCCAAAAAAAAAAAAAAAAAAAAAAAAAAAAAAGAAGCAGGAAATCTCAGCTTAATCAAGAAAGGTTAGGAAGTATTACTTTCCTAAACCATTGAATTTCCCTTCCTCACCTTGGCCTTTATTAGGTGATTTTGAATATTTTTATTCTTTACCTTATTTGAGTATTATCAGTAATTCATCTTAAAATATTCTGGCTGGTACAGATATTTACAAAGATTTGCTGCATCCCAAAGTCTGCATTTATGTTTCCTTAGCTGACAGCACTTCCTTAGGGATTTCAGTTCTGATTCTCACATTAGGGGAGATGGTGGAATTTGATGTTCAGAAATGTTCTAGATACTTGACTGGTGTATGCCAGGCCTCTAGGACTACTAGAGGGTTCTTGGGCCTGCCATAGCCACCCACTCACTCTGTGTTTCCCTTCCCAGGAGCTGGGGTCAGAGAGGACGTGTTTCTCATCTGGAAGGAGATGGAGGAAGCATGCAGCATTCTGACTCAGATCCAGAGGCTGGTTGCTGAGCCGCCCAAGTCTGACGTGGCCACACTAGACAGTGGTGGGTGCTGTTTATGTTTATAGTGTAAGAGTCATAACTGTTACTAGTTGGGGATGAAGGACTGTTTCCTGAGGATTGCTTCCAGAGTTGTGCTGTGGTTTGTGTGTATGTGTATGTGAGTGTATGTGAATGTGTGTGTGTTAGTGAGATTGTCAAAAAAAACACCAGCTGGACAGGAAAGTGGTAACTTGCAGTTACCAGTATAGAGCTGGGCTTAGTGATGGATACAACATGGACAAGTGGGGATTTGTAGCCAAGGAACAGGGGTTGAGGGGGCAGTGGTGGTTAATGGATGGAAAATTACTAAGAGGAGACATCAGGGGTAAAGGGGAATTCTGGCCAAACCTACCTGACAGGATTCTTCTTGAAGGCAGGCCAGGGTGACCAGCTACCACCTGGGTGTGGTAGGCTATGAGGAATTTGATCATATGTGAAGGGTGGGGAATTCTGGCTGAACTGACTTAACAGGATTGTTGCTAAAATTGGGTGATGCAGAGATGAACACAAAAGTCCGAAGGTGGTGGCTTAGTTGAGAAGAGGATTCAGAGGAACCTGAGTTTGGAGTAAGAAAGTCCTGGTGGAAAATCCCAACTCCATCATTTGGAATTAACCCAAATTAATCTATTTAAGCTTTAGTTTATTCTTCTGTTAAATAATTATAATATTGGTCTTGAAGGATTATTGTAAAGATTGGATAAAGTAATGGATGCTTTGCACCAAGCAGGTATTTGGTAAATGTTAGCTCACTCTTTTCCCTTTCACAGTTGGGGACTTTGTGTACTGATTCTCTTAAGTTAGTAAAGGATTTTCCTCTGTAGGGAACTGGTTTCATTTAGACACTTCTGGTAACAATGGTCGTTAACACTTATAACACATACCTTACGTGGCAAGCACCGTTCTAGGGTCTTCACAGTATTAACTCATTTAACCCTACCTACAATCTTATAAGATAGGTGCTACTAGTTTCTCCATTTAGCCCAAGGTTACACAGCTAGAAGCAGTAAAACTAGGATTCAAAACCCAGTTCCTCAGGAACGTACTGATGTCTGGCTTTCACCCTGTACATTCTGACTGAATCCATAAAGTATGTGATCTGGACATTGAGGGGGGTTTTTGAAAGCTTCCCAGGTGATCCTAATCACCACAGCAAAGTTTGGGAACCCTTGCCAGGCTGTATTGCCTCCTGGTACCCTGCCTATATTACAGAGGTGTCAATGTGGAAGAAGGGCAAGGAGGCGAGAGCAGCTGGGCAGGGATACAGTTGAAGAAAAGTGGGGAAGCGATACGTGTAGAGGGAGGAAGAGGTTAAAGGCATGGGAGAGCATACCTTGTGTAACCTGATAAATTCCAGGTGACAGTGACTTTTTACTGTGACTGGGTGTCCAGCTATGGGTCTGGGGCAGCACAGCTGCAATGTTTTGCCAGGGCCAGCTCTCCAGGTCCCCAAGCTTATCCAGAGGGGCTGCTCATTGGTAGTGACACCATACTCAGTATCAACCCAAAGAGTCCTCTGTCATCCCAAGAGAATGAAAATGAAGCAGGGGGACCTGAGCTAAAGTCAACATTCACGCCAGGCAAAGATTCTCTGCTCAGGGTTTGGGGGAGTACAGTGGACTGAATTGTTTCTCCCAAAGTTTGTGTGTTGAAACCCTAACCCCCAGTGTAGCTGTATGAGGAGATAGGGTCTTTAAGATAGGTAATTAAGTTTAAATGAGATCATGAGGGTAGGACCCAAATCCAGTCTGACTGATGTCCTTCTAAGAAGAGGAGGAGATGCCAGAGACTTCTCTCTTTCCATGCATGCACAGAGGAAAAGCACAGTAGGAAGATGGCCATCTACAAGCCAGAAAGAGATCTTCATCATAAACCAATCCTGAGGGCACCCTGATCTTTGACTTTCAGGCTCCAGAACTGTGAGAAAATGAATTTATGTTGTTTAAGCCACCCAGACTATGGTATTTTGTTGTGGTAGCACAGACTAATGTAGGGAGTATTTAAGCTTGGGGTAGTTAGTCTTGAGGATTAACAGAAGATTTTTAGGTATTATTCCTAAAGGAAACAAAAGAGATAGTGGCCTTAGTAATTGATAAAGGATAGATTTTCATCCCTTTATTTCAGTCGAATACACACACACACACAGACACACACACGCACACACACCCAAAACTGAAAACTAAAATTACTCCAAGCATACATTTTCAAAGATGCTTCAGGTGTCCCATTTCTAGTTAAAAAGCAAAATTTGGCCACTGTTGGATACCCACTGAGGCTTTTATAACTTTGTTTTGGCCCCAGAGACTACATGTGGAGTGTCTGATCTGTTCCTGTTGCTACCCACAACACAGTGTTATTGAGGCAAAGGAGGGTGTGCTTCATGTGAAGGCACAGCCAGTCCCTAAGTTTGGCTGCCCAGAGCCTGCAAGGCTGAAGGAGTTAGCATAGCCATCTGGAGGGGGAAACGTTAGAATGGAGGAGGCCAGATGGACTACCGTTGCATGTGAAACCTTCATGTGAATTAAACAAAATCTACCTTCCTGGGCTTAGCAGCACCCACATGCCCCCTGGGCTGGATGTACTGGTTCAGGAACCAGCTGGAACCTACAACCATAGGGCAGGAGGGCAATATCTGGCAGGGATGGTTCATAAGCTTGAGGCTTTAGATAAGAAGATGGTGAGGTCAGACACTCTGGCCACTGGTAATTTTGACCTCTTTTACTTACCAAGAGTAGGACATGAGAAATCTCTGGTAGGGAAAACCTGACAAAAATATATGAAGTAATGGTTTTTAGAGATACTGGGCACCAAGCAATGAAGGCCAGTGACCCCTGAGATACAGGGAATATCCAAGGTGAACTCTGCTGTTATCCTAGCTTAATGCTTTGAGAAAGTTTCAGGGCCATGGTGTAGGGAGAAGGATCCTGGGTGGAGCACAGCAAACTTCTGAGTCTGGGAGACAGAGCTAAAAGTCCAGGAAGACCAAGAAATCTAGATTTCATAAGACAAATTACCAGAGAGGAGAGAGGTACAGAGAACTCTGGAAATCTGCAGAGCCCCCCTTGAGAATTTGTGGATGAATTCTTTCATGTGGAGAAATCACCTGAGGCTGGGAAAGATCCAGTGGGAGGAATTCTAGAATAGTCTTGGAGCTCACACAGGAGACCAGTCTTTTCTTTCTAACAGAGCTCACCTTGGATATTCCCTGTATCTCAGGGAACACGTAGATAGAATTTCCAAGGAGAGAAGAGAAAAGGGAACAGAAAAATATTGGAAAAAATAAAGATTAAAAATTTCCCAAGTTTGATGAAAACTATAACACCAAGATCCAAGGAGTTCAATGGATGTCAAGTACAGGAAAATGAGAGGAAGTATGCCAAAAGACATCATAATCAATTTGCTCAAAACCAGTAAGACAGAGGAAATCTTAAAAGCAACTAGAGGAAAAAGAAGAAACATTACATACAAAGGAACAAAGATAACCATGACAGCAGAATTCTTTTTGCAAGTGAAAAGAGTAGAGCAACGTCTTTTTTTCCTTTCAGTACTTTAAATTTTGAATCCAGGATTCTATATTTTGTGACAATAACTTTCAAAAAAACAAAAAGCAAAATACAGATGTTCTTAGACATATGAAAATGAAAGAAGTATTAGCAGTGATCTGCACTTCAGGAAATGTTAGAGGGAATCCTTCAAGCAGGAGGATTATGATACTTTAAAATGGAAAAATGAATGAAAATAATGGAGCTACACAAAGGAATAAAGAACACAGGAAATAACTGCATGGGTAAATATATGATATTTTTCTATTTAAATGTCCAAAAGACAATTCACTGTTTAAACAGAAATAATATCAGTGAGGCCTGTCGCGTATGTATAAGTAAAATGTATGACAACAATGGCATAAAAGCCAGGAGGGGAATAGCAGCATTATTCATTAAGTTCTAAAGATGAAAAACCCAAATGTCCACCAACAGATGACTGGATAAATAAACAGTGCTATGTACATACAGTGGAGTATTATTCAGCCTTTAAAAGAAAGGAAATTCTGATATAGGCTAAAGCAGAAACAAAATGACAAATATGATATGAGTCCACCTATATGATGTGCCTAGAATAGTCAGATTTATAGAGTGATTACCAAGGGTTGAGGGGAATGGGGAATGGAGAGTTATTATTTAATGGGTATAGAGTTTCTGTTTGGGATATTGAAAAAGCTGTGGGTATGGATGGTGGCAGTGGTTGCACAACAATGTGAATATTTAATGCCACTTAATTGCATTCCTGAAGATGGCTAAAATGATAAATTTTATGTTATGTATATTTTACTACAATTAAACAACAACAACAACAAACCAATGCATTGCAAAACAAACAAACAAAAATCCAGGAGGGGAGAAATGGAAGTATGCTATTGTAAGGTTCTTATACTGTGCATGAATACCAGCTGAAGTTAGGGCACAATACATTGAAGATGTTTGCTATATACCTAAAGTAACTACTATTTAAAAACAAGCCAACAAAGGAGATAAAATGGAATTAAAAAATAATCTAAAATCTGTCAGGAGAAAAAGAGAGCAAAGGATAGATAGGGCCAATAGAAAACCAATGGCAAGATGATAGACATAAACTACCATACATATGTCAAAATGTACCCATTTGTACACTTTAAATCTGTATGGTTTATCTTATGTCAGTTATACCTAACACAGCTGTTAATAAAGTAAAAGAGGATGATGTGGATCACTCATGAGGTGCTGAGCTGTTCAGAATGTTGGTGTTAATGTATCTGAGCATTGTGTGTGTGTGTGTGTGTGTGTGTGTGTGTGTGTGTGTGCGCGCGCGCACGCGTGCGTGCCAGCTATGACTCTCAAACAAGAAGATGGCTTTTCTCACAAAACATTCAAGGATTTGTCCCAGTTAGGGAAACTTTACCCTTCTTTGGATGATGCTGCAGCTCAAAACATTTCAGGAACTCCTCATTTGTAATAACCTTCACAGCCATT